GAGATTTGTGACCCCCACGGATTGTAGCCCGCTAGGCTCTTCTGTCCATGGGATTCTCCAGGCAAGAATACTGGAGAGGGCCACCATGTCCTTCTCTAGGGGATCTTCCTGACCCAGGGATTGAACCTGCATCTCCTGCATCACAGGCAGAGTCTTTGCTGCTTGAGCTACTAGGGGAGATATAATTTGGGAGAACGAAGAGTACAAAAAGTCTTTTTAAAGGCAAAATAGTAAAAGAAGAAAGAAGAGAAGAGGGTGATGACAGATGGAAGAAAGAAAAACATACTAATTACTCTGAACATTTATATAAAGTAACCTGCACAACATGCAATATCACATTTGAGCTGTACACAAACAAGGTGGGTCAATAACTGATATCAGTTTTTAAACTAATGACACAATGCAAAGGGAAAGAAAAATCCTGAATGCCTCCATCGGGTAATGCCAAGACCTGCCCTCTGTACAAGTCACCCACTATTCATTCGTTATCTATGTGCTGTTTCAGTAGGTCACTGAAAAACAGTCTAAAGCAGGCTTAATCTGGAATGGAGCTCTCAGAAGACTTCTGCCAGGGTTCTAAAAACCTGAACAAATAGAATTCCAATGATACCCAAGGCTGCTTTCCAGGCTGAGAGAGTGGGAGATAATGCAATTCTCCGACAGTTTTTCAGAGTCAGGCATCTCTAGTCCCTACAGTTCTGCTTTACTGGAGGCTGAAACTGATCAAGAAAGATTACCTTCTAACAGCTTGGACTCTATTACTTTCCCATGACGCCCTGTGCTTCATAAAGGATTATTACTTATCAAGGTTCAGTTCAGTTCAGTCACTCAGTCGTATCAAGGTTATTAACCCTTAAATAAAAAAGACCTAAGAGACGGTTACAGCCGCGCCAAATTAATAAACACCATATAATGTGGGCACTTGAAGAAAAAGCCCTAATTTTTCTACCTTTTTATTGGGATAATATTTTCTCTTCAATGTATCATAAAGACCGATGAATTTCTTAAGTGTTTGAAATTGCAAATGGTTTAGGATTATAATAATGCATGTAGGTCTTATAAGTACACAAAAAGAGGGAGGGTGGGGTAAGGGAAGCTGTGGCTTATAATTAATAACTGCTTCTGGAAACTACACATTCATATAGACATTTGGTCAATTAAAATAACTGTTTAGTCAGTGAATGGAGATTATTAATATATATTCCCTAGTGCATGCTGCACACATCACTGCTACCAGAATTGCTTTAAAACTATTCTTAACTCATCAAAAATCTCTATGATGTTCTAAATGCCTTCCCGTAACAACTACTAAATGCTTTGGCCACTTTCTTACTATTATTCCTGACGACCATTTATAGACTATACATATATGTATATGTATAGCTGACTCACTCTGCTGTGCAGTAGAAACTTACACAACACTCTAAAGCAATTATACTCCAATAAAAATTAAAAAATAATCAGAATTTAATTGGGATGCCAGGTTCATAGCAACTTACATCTTTCTTTTTCCAGATAATCTGAAGATTAGCATTCAATAAATGATTTTTTTCCTGCTTTTTCTTTAAACTTTTTATTTTGTATTGCAGTAGCTGATTAACAATAAATGATTTTTAAACTAAAAAAAATTTTCACCTGTGATGAGGTAAAGACCAGTGAAAACAAACTTAACAATCTGAATACCCAGGTTTACTAACCTTCATGTGAGTTTCTACAAGTAACGTATATTGCTTTCTGAGATCCAAACAGATAATAGTTAACATCTAGTGCTTGCGCCACCATTGTTCTAAGCATGTTATAATGCTAATAATTCTCAAAACAAGCCTATAAAGAGGCTACAAAGAGCTTGGTTAAAACATGGGGAATGAGGGAGTTTACTAAGCCATTACTCAGCAATGATCAATTTTTATCTAAAAGGTCCACACGCACTCAGAAAAACATCTAAACAGTCAATAAAACTAAAGTAAGCTTCCTATAACTAATATTTCTTTTCATATGTAATAATATTGGCTTATAAGCTATGGTAGACAAAAATTCTGTTCCCCTTCCAATTCATGTACTCCAAACTGGTTCAAATTTTATCTATTAGAAAGGAAGAGTAAAAATAAAATAACAGCTTTCTTTTAGACTAGGCATAGCTAACTTATTGGCTTCAATACCCAGATAAAGTGGACTCAATTAGGTCACAAAAGTCACTGGAATCCTACCACCATGGTATGTAGGAACTTACTGGACTTTTAAAAAACTTTTCATTATCAGTAGTCAGAAAATTTCCAGAAAGGTTTAAAAAGTAAAATAAGAGAAAGGTCAAAAGCTGCAAAGTTTATAAATTTTTCCATTTGAAAAGGCTGAAGAAACCATACTAGGATTGAACTCTTCTGAGACAGTGTGAAAACTTATATAATAATACATGGAGATCTGAAAAACCAATTAGAAGGAAGTTACACGGGATTTTGTGAGAAGTAGTAAATCATGGACAAAAAGCACTATTGCATTTACATCATAACTAATGTGAAACCTTGGGACACATACTGGATTGTATCTTGCAGAAAGCTATCTAGAAAATGCAAAAATGGAGTCAAAATAGGTGCTGCTGTTATGCCAGTAAACAAAAATTAACTTATAACCTATAACTAGTCTACTGGTGATCTGATTTAGGAAAGATGATTTGAGAGGACTAAGACCACTTTTCCTTTCAGGTTAATTTTTGTAGGCCCTTACTGTTGCTCGATTTATGACACTAGCATTCTAATGATATTCTCTACCTGTCCAATTCAGCCTTTGTGTTGTCACTAGTCACTTAAGTAATAGACAGCCTTCAAGTGTTTGGTTCCCTGATACTCAACAGGGTAAAGTCCAAATTCCGTATCACTGCATACCCACCCTTCCTCCTTTTCCAGCTACTCTCCTAAATGTAGCACTCACAAGGCAAGGGCTTCCTTCACAGTCTCTTGTCTCTGATCAAACACCTCTGTCTCTGTGGTGGTCAAACTCCAAAGCTAGGCTCTGTGTTTTGACCCTTGCAGGTACAGCCTAGTTTCCTCAAAATGCCATGCAGTTTCATGCTTCTGTATCATTGCATGTGTTATCCCATCTGGCTGGAATGCCTTTCTGCTTTACCACTTTCCAGCTGGGTGACCTTGAACAGGTTCATATACTTTGCTGAACCCTGCTTCTTCATATAAAGAACATTAGCACTCATTTGCTATCACTATGAAATAATCAATGTGAAAAGTTGCTTTGTAGACAGTCAAGCACTACACAAGCATTAACAATCTTATCATAAATCAAAAGAGCACACAGTATTCTTGGTAAATATACTTCAGTTGACCTAAAAGGGTAAGATTCATCTCTTGGTTTCCAGCCCCCTCTCCAAGAATGCCCTGCATTTTATCCCACTTTCTGACTCCAGTTAAGTCCTTGTTCTTCTGTCTTCAAACGATAAAAATCTATCATGATGGCTAGGTCATTTGAAGAAAAAGACTTAGTGGAAAGCTCCTCAAAGGTGAGGACTGTCCTTTCTTCCACCTCTCCTATTGCCTTCACAAGAGTACTGTGTGATGCACAAATACTGGTAAAAAGGAAAAAGATGAATGAATGAGTGAATGCAAGCATATCTTGTCCTTAGTGAGCTTATAATCAAAAGGAGTGAGTGATATGGTGGGTCCTAGATGAATCTGGCTTTATGAAAGTGGTAACAAATGTCTTCAATGCCATCTTAAAGAGAAGTAAAGAAACTGAATTGCCTGCTAAGCTTGTTTTATTTGGTGATTTGATGTGTGTTGTAATTGCTGTCTTAGTGACTCATGCTTAACATGTAAATGTTTTAACATTATTAGAATCACATATGCAATTCTTGTTTTTAAAAAATGTTCTGCACTAGGCCCAATGAGAATATGAAGATAAAGATGATCGATTTTTCCCATTAGATGCTAAACATACAGAAAGGAAGCTAAGTCATCCATACATATAGTTAATACAAGGCAGAGTATTATAAGGTGTATGCAAGGCCTAAGGCTAGTGACAGTAAAGGAAGACATTTGAGCTAGGGTACTGGGCCCATAACAATTACAGCTATATATTACAAATTACTGGGCGCCAATAGCTTACGTTACCATCAGACATTATTTTACATATAAAACATGTTACATGCAATGGCGGATATTTCTGACCGCCTTCCTCCTTAATTAATTACAAACCTAACTGCATTGTTATCTTTACTATTCACATGTGTGCCAAACACAGTTCTCAGGCCCTTAGGCATATTACCTCATTTAATTTCCGTAACAACCTTACGACATGGATACAATTATCCCTATTTTACAGATAAGAAAACCAAGGCCAAAGCCTTGGAACTTTTCAAAGTTAAGAGGCAAAAATGAAAATATGTAAACAAGGACCTGAGAGAGAAATATGAGTATTCCACATAGCGTGAGCAGACCCACTTGTCACAACTGCCTCGAGCAGTGCTTTTCCAAAACCTCTCCAGAACGCACCGGTGATAACCTCTATCCTTTCCCTTCCCACCAGGGATTAATGTTCTTTTCCCAAATCCATAACGGAACCGTTATTCAGATTCCCTCAAACATTTCCAGTCCAGAAGCCAAACCGGTATTTAAATCATAAGCAGTTCAGGGTAAACGAGACCGAATCAGATCCCTCGGTGGACAAAGCTCAGGTAGGATCACGAAATTAAACCTTTCGGGTTGGCCATCCATTCCTGGATCACCTCCAGGGGATGGCTGCAGCATCCGGCTTACCCAGGAGGCGCTACCTCGGCAGATCCTCTCCTCCTGACCCCAAGCGGCTGGGCTTTTGCCATCTGCTCGCTTTACCCTCTACCTGCCGGCGCTTGCCGGCACAGTCTTCATCCTGTTCGGACCAATCTCCAGGCCTCACGCGCCTCGCTCTTCCCGCAGTTAAGTTCCAAACCCACCCGGGTGCGTGTCGGCTCCTGCAGAGGCAGCCCGTCCCGCTCCCTCCCCCGGCCGGCTACTCACGGTTCCAGTACACCGGGTAGCATTCTCCTTGGGTCACATCCACCTCGTAGAGGCCGCCCCGCACACACACCCGCTCGATGTTCACCAGCTCCTCCATCTCGCGCCCGTGCCCCGCAATGCGCGGGCAGAAGCCGCAGACGCGGTCCTCGTCTTCGTCCTCCACGGAGCTGGAGGCCGGACCCGCGGGGGAGGCCGGGCCGCACACATGGTCGCCGTCCGGGTCTTGGGCCCGGGCTCGGGTCCCCGTGGCCTGCAGCAGCGTCCGGAAGGCGAGCTCGATGCGGAGAGAGTCGTAACCGATGAAGGGCTTCCAGGTCTTCTTGTCCTCCTTGTAGAACCAGCGTACCTCCTCTGGGCCCAGCTCCGTCACCACCTCGTATCTGTGCCGGGCGGCCGCGCCGCCGGGCCGGGTGCGCTTCCTCTCCCCGGGGCCCCCTCCAGCCGCCCCGCCGCCCCCCGAGTTCGACGGGACCAGCGGCGGCTGCTGAGGCGGGTGCAGCGACGAGGAGCTGCCGCCGCCTCCACTCTCGCCCTCGCTGTAGTAGCGCAGCGAGGAGCCCGACTCTGCCGAGCTGAAGTCATAGTTATCGTCACTGAGACAGGGGTCCAGCGCCAGGTGATGGTTGTGGTCCTCCGCGCCCGGCGCCAAGTGCAGCCCGGGCTCCCCGCGCAGCAAGGCCAGGGGCACCTCGTCATCGCCAGGGTCCCCGGGGGGCAGGTGGTCGAAGCGGCAGACGCTGCCGCCGAACGCCGGTTCCGCGTCCGAGCCCAGCTCCCAGGCGGCGCCGTCGCCGCCCCGGCCCCCGTTACGCTCGGAGCTCCGCGGAGACCCGTGGCCCGGGTAATTCATGCTGTGGAGACGCCGCCGGCCGCCCGGCTCGGCGCCGAGCCGTTGCCCCCAGCGCTTCCGCCACACATTCAACGCCGCCGCCCTCTCCACCCGGAGTTTTTAATCTTTCAAATCCCGAAGGGGGCTGCGGCGGTAGAGGAAGCGGCTCCGCCCCCTCTGAGGCCCCCGGCCGCCGCAGCCGCGTGCCGCCGCCCGACCCATTGTCACGCAGCCCGACGTAGGCGGTGCTTACCCCTGGGCCCCGCCCCGCCGGCCGCGCGCGCCGTCCCGGAAACCCCTTCTCAACCCGCGCAGGGCGGGCGCGGCGCCCGTTGCGCCTCCTGCCGCGGCGTCCCGGTCAGTTCAGAATTTTTCAATTCCCTTCGCCTCCGCTCCCATTTCCCTGCGGGTGCTGCTGCCTCGGCCCCCGCCCGTCTGAGGGTCAGAGCCCAGGTGTGGAGAAGCTTTATCGGACTCATCCTTGCAATCTGGGTCATGAGCCCAAAGGCTTAAGCTACCCTTCGAGAGGGCCCTGGGAAATTGGATTCTCTTGACCCTGCTTCTGTGACCTTAGGCCTGCCTGCAGCCCTGGGTGGACCTTATCAGCCACCTGGCTCTGGTCCCTTCAGAATTGTCGGCCCACGCGAGGACACTCCACCCCTTTTTGCCCACTGATTCCTAAAGTGGCGTCTCCACTCCCACTCAAACCCAGGTCTAGATCTGCTTTCATATGCTGTCTGGTATTATTGTTTGTCTTTCAATACTTATTTCCTGTTTTCTCAACCTCGTTGTGAGGCCCCTGTTGGAGACCGAGTCTGTATGTCTCAATCTCTTCCACAGTGGATGCACAGTCAATGTTGATTATAATGATGTCAAGTCCAGCCAGTTATGATAGATTACTAAATTGAAAACCAGAAAACCAGGTTCTAGAATTAGTTTTGATAACTAAGCTACGGCTAGTTACTTAACCTCCATCTTTCTGGTTTCCTCATCTGTAAGATTAAGTAATTATTGGACTAGTTGATCTCTTGAAAAAAGTCTCATAGCAATGTGATTCTGTAACCTTCAAGTTTTCGTCCTGTTCTCTATGTATTTCTGATTCTGTGGCTCATTTTCTGGAACAGGCTGAATGCTGAAGCTCCCCAATGTGATTCTTTGATACTACCAAAAAAAAAATTGTTTATAAAGCCAATCACCCTATGTTGAGAATCCAGGGAAAAACTCCAACATCCGTATTCTCAAGATCAGACAATATTCATCTTTTTGTTTTAAGATTTTTTTTGATGTGCACCATTTATTGAATTTGTTACTCATTTCTCCTATTTTATGTTTTGGTTTTTTTGGCCTTGAGGCATGTGGGATCTTAGTTCCCTGACCAGGAATTGAACCTCCACCCCCTGCATTGGAAGGTGAAGTCCTAACCACTGGATTGCCAGGGAAGTCCCAATATTCACTCCCCGCCCCCACCAACAATCTGTTGTGGAATCAGACTGATAGAGAACTTTTTCTTGCTCTTGGGATCTAACCTCTCATTATTTAAAGGACATTTTAATTATTTAAAAGATAATTTAAATTCTCTTTAAAAACGGCATTGTTTCCCATGGGCAGATACAAACTACTGTTGGGGTTCATGGCTTGGTAAGTAGAACATAGGTATGGTATCTGGTCCAACTTGTGCTCTTGGCTGGGTAATCTTGCACAATGATAAGCAGTTGGCTATTGCAGCGCTTACTCAGAGCATGTAAGATCAGAGCACTTGTTTCTGTTTATGTTGCTTTCTGAGTACCCCTGTGTGTCAGTTTCTTCCCTAGTCTTTTCTATGGACAATTTTCAGAATCTGAAATAAGGTCTGAGCTTTGACCTATTTGTTATCCATTACAGCATTAATTCTACAGTGTTTTGATGTCACCTATGCATCAGAATCTAGATGTGCTAGATTCTAATTGAAAGAGAATGGGAGAGACTCAGTTCCTTCAAGGATCTTACTGCCTAGTGGGGGTTACATACAAGTAAACATATATGGTATAGTACAGGGTGCAAAGTACTATGTCTGTGTGTGCTAAGTCGCTTTACTTGTGTCTGACTTTTTGCCACCCAATGGACTGCAGTCCTGCCAAGCTCCTCTGTCCAAGGGATTCTCCAGGCAAGAATACTGGTGTGGGTTGCCATGCCCTCCTCCAGGAGATCTTCCTGATCCAGGGATTGAATCCAAGTCTGTTACATCTCCTGAACTGGCAGGTGGGTTCTTTACTGCTAATGCCACCTGGGAAGCCTGTGCAAAATACTATAAGTTCAGTTCAGTCACTCAGTTGTGTCCGACTCTTTGTGTCGGACTGCGTTGGACCATTGGACTGCAGCACGCCAGGCTTCCCTGTCCATCACCAACTCCCAGAGCTTACTCAAACTCATGTCGATAGAGTCAGTGATGCCATCCAACCATCTCATTGTCTCTTGTCCCATTCTTCTCCCACCTTCAGTCTTTCCCAGCATCAGGGTCTTTTCCAGTGAGTCACTTCTTTGCATCAGGTGGCCAAACTATTGGAGTTTCAGCTTCAACATCAGTCCTTCCAATGAATATTCAGGGCTGATCTCCTTCAAGATGGACTGGTTTGATCTCCTTGTAGTCCAAGGGTCTCTCAAGAGTCTTCTCCAACAACACAGTTCAAATGTATCAGTTTTTCAGCACTCAGCTTTCTTTACAGTCCAACTCTCACATCCATATATGACTACTGGAAAAACCATAGTTTTGACTAGATGGACCTTTGTTGGCAAACTAATGTCTCTGCATTTTAACATGCTGTCTAGGTTGGTCATAACTTTTTTTCCAAGGAGTAAGTGTCTTTTAATTTCATGGCTGCAGCCACCATCTGCAGTGATTTTGGAGCCCCCAAAAATAAAGCCTGTCACTGTTTCCATTGTTTTCTCATCTATTTGCCATGAAGTGATGGGACCAGATGCCTTGATCTTAGTTTTCTGGATGTTGAGCTTTAAGCCAACTTTTTCACCCTCTTTCACTTTCATCAAGAGGCTCTTTAGTTCTCCTTTGCTTTTTGCCATAAGAGTGGTGTCATCTGCATACCTGAGGTTATTGATATTTCTCCCAGCAATCTTGATTCCAGCTTGTACTTCATCCAGACAATCATTTCTCATGATGTACTCTGCATATAAGTTAAATAAGCAAGGTGACAATATACACTCCTTTTCCTATCTGGAACCAGTCTGTTGTTCCATGTCCAGTTCTAATTGTCGCTTTCTGACCTGGGTACAGATTTCTCAGGAGGCAAGTCAGGTGGTCTGGTATTCCCAACTCTTTCAGAATTTTCCACAGTTTATCATGATCCACACAGTCAAAGGCTTTGGCATAGTCAATAAAGCAGAAGCAGATGTTTTTCTGGAACTCTCTTGCTTTTTCGATGATCCAATGGATTTTGGCAATTTGATCTGTGGTTCCTCTGCGTTTTCTAAATCCAGCTTGAACATCTGGATGTTCATGGTTCACGTATTGTTGAAGCCTGGCTTGGAGAATTTTGAGCATTACTTTGCTAGTGTGTGAGATGAGTGCAGTTGTGCAGTAGTTTGAGCACTCTTTGGCATTGCTTTTCTTCGGGATTGGAATGAAAACTGACCTTTTCCAGTCCTGTGGTCACTGCCGAGTTTTCCAAAGTTTCTGGCATATTGAGTCCAGCACTTTCACAATGTCATCTTTTAGGATTTGAAATAGCTCAGCTGGAATTCCATTCCCTCCACTAGCTTTGTTCCTAGTGATGCTTCCTAAGGCCCACTTGACTTCGAATTCCAGGAAGTCTGGTTCTAGGTGAGCGATCACATCATTGTGGTTTATCTGGGTCATGAAGATCTTTTTTGCATAGTTCTTCTGTATATTCTTGCCACCTCTTCTTAATATCTTCTGCTTCTGTTAGTCCATACCATTTCTGTCCCCATCTTTACTTGAAATATTCCCTTGATATCTCTAATTTTCTTGAAGAGATCTCTAGTCTTTCCCATTCTATTGCTTTTCTCTATTTCTTTGCATTGATCACTGAGGAAGGCTTTCTTATCTCTCCTTGCTATTCTTTGGAACTCTGCGTTCAAATGGGTATATCTTTTCTTTTCTCCTTTGCCTTTCACTTCTCTTCTTTTCTCAGCTATTTGCAAGGCCTCCTCGGACAACCATTTTGCCTTTTTGCATTTCTTTTTCTTGGGGATGGTCTTGATCCCTATCTCCTGTACAATGTTATGAACCTCTGTCCATAGTTCTTCAGGCACTCTGTCTATCAGATCTAATTCCTTGAATCTCTTTGTCACTCCTACTAATTGTAAAATTGTAAGGGATTTGATTTAGGTCATACCTGAATGGCCTAGTGGTTTTCCCTACTTTCTTCAAGTCTGAATTTGGCAATAAGGAGCTCATGATCTGAGCCACAGTCAGCTCCCAGTCTTGTTTTTGCTGACTGTATAGAGCTTCTCCATCTTTGGCTGCAAAGAATATAATCAATCTGATTTCGGTATTGACCATCTGGTGATGTCCATGTGTAGAGTCTTCTCTTGTGTTATTGAAAGAGAGTTTTGCTATGACCAGTGCCTTCTCTTGGCAAAACTCTACTAGCCTTTGAGCTGCTTCATTCTGTACTCCAAAGCCAAATTTGTCTGTTACTCTAGGTATTTCTTGATTTCCTACTCTTGCATTCCAGTCCCCTATAATGAAAAGGACTTCTTTCTTGTGTGTTAGTTCTAGAAGGTCTTGGAGGTCTTCATAGAACCATTCAACTTCAGCTTCTTCAGCATTACTGGTTGGGGCATAGACTTGGATTACTGTGATATTGGATCGTTTTCCTTGGAAATGAACAGAGATCATTCTGTGGTTTTTGAGATTGCATCCAAGTACTGCATTTTCGACTCTTGTTGACTATGATGGCTACTCCGTTTCTTCTAAGAGATTCTTGTCCACCATAGTAGATATAATGGTCATCTGAGTTAAATTCACCCATTCCAGTCCATTTTAGTTCGCGGATTCCTAAAAT